ACCTCTTCGACCTCACCGGCGGGGTGGGGACCCTCTCAGGATCCTATGTGGCCCCCAAAACGGTGAGTGGGGCAGCCAAGCTCGGGGTTAAGGGGGGCACAGACCCCCCTGCTCACCCCCCACAGCAGAGCCCTCCTGGAGGAGGTGGGGGAGCACCAAGGCTCTGCTCTGGGTGACACCCCAAGGGTTTCTTGTCTCCCTGGCTCAGGTCTGGCTCCCTGCCATGAAAGCCAAGGGGCTGGAGATCTCTGGCACCTTCAGCCGCCAGGTGGGCTCCATCTCCATGGACCTGGTGCTGACCAACAAAGCCCTGCAGGTCATGTCTGACTTTGCCATCCAGTTCAACCGCAACAGGTGAGTCCCACCTGGGCTGGGCCACCTGGGACCCGTGGAGACGCTGCCTGGAGCAGTTTTGTGTGGAAAAGGAGCTGCAAGGGCTGGGAGCAGCCTCTGGTGATGACCCTTCTCTCTCTGATGGCTGTGGTGGTGATGAGCATCAAACCAAAGCCTCTAAGAAGTTGGCTGAAGAGGCTGTTCCTCAGGGTCTGACCGTTGTTCTCCTGGCTGTCCTGGGGAACCAGTGCTTCCTTTTGCCTCAAAGGCACTGAGGAAATGCTGCAGGAATGCTGCACGTGGGTGGAGGAGGAAGGGGGGACGTTTGGGGTTGCCCCAGGGTGGGCAGGGCACAGCCAGCCCCATCCTCGACAGCTCAGGGACAGCGAGGAGATTCCTGGGATGCCCGTGGAGGAAGGCAGGGAGTGCCAGGCTGGGATGGACAGCACCTTGTGCCATCCCCTGCTGTCCCCAGCCTGACCCCTGCCCTCCCTGGTGTCCCCCAGCTTCGGCCTGGCCCCAGCAGCCCCTCTGCAGGTGCATGCACCTCTGGCTCCCAACCAGTCCGTGGAGATCTCCCTGCCCCTCAACACTGTGGGCTCCGTCATGAAGATGGAGCCCCTCAACAACCTCCAGGTGGGCAACACGGGGCTGTCCCCTCCTGGGCAGCTGGGGACAGGGCAGGGTCCCTTGGAGAAACCCAGAGGGAGATGTGACAGCAGGAGCCAGCTGCTTGCTGCAGTGACACCTGGATCCAGAGGGATGGGGATGGGATGGGGATGGAGATGGGGATGGGATGGGACATTTTGGAATAGGATGGGACATTTTGGGAACCTGCTGTGGGTCAGAGGTGTTGAAATCCCCATGTCCTTCCACCCCAGGTGGCAGTGAAGAACAACATTGATGTCTTCTACTTCAGCACCCTGTACCCCCTGCACATCCTGTTCGTGGAGGATGGCAAGATGGGTGAGTGGGGTGACCATGGCTCCAGCAAGGTGTGCTCTGTCACCTGTCCTCAGGTGCCATCCCAGCCCCTGGAACCTTCTTGATCACATTGGGTGAGCCCCCAAAGCAGGTGGCTGCCCTGAGCCTGCTGGAGCGGGTGGCAGGGTGACATACCTTGGCTGCCGTGTCACCTGTGTTGTGTCACCTTTGGGGGTGGCCAGTCTGGCAGCTCCCTCAGCGCTGCTGTCCTCCCTCCCTGCAGAGAGGCAGACATTCCTGGCCACCTGGAAGGACATTCCCAACGAGAACGAGACCCAGTTCCAGATCAAAGACTGTTCCCTCAACGCAGGTGGGTCCCACCCCCTCGCAAGGACCTGGCTCGGGTCACACTTAACCCTGTCCCTAAGTGCCACATCCACGTGGCTGTTCAGTCCCTGCAGGGGTGGGGACTCCAGCACTGCCCTGGGCAGCTGTGCCACCCTTTCCATGAAGAAACTTCCCCTAGTTCCCTAATACCCAGTCTAAGCCTCTTCCATGACAAGGAGGGGCAGGAGGAGGTCCAAGGGGGGCAGGGGCTCAGCCCAGCCCCTCAGCCTCTCTCTCCCATCCCAGACGCTGTGAGCAGCAAACTCCAAGGCAGCAACATCTTCACCATTGCCAAGAGGAACGTGGAGGGGCAGGACATGCTCTACCAGTCGCTGAAGCTCACCAACGGCATCTGGGTGCTGGCAGAGCTCCGGATCCAGCCCAGCAACCCCAGCTTCACGGTACATCCCACCCCGTGCCCGGGGGCTCACCCCTGCTGTGGCACCTCCCCAGCTGCTGGTGGCGCTGGTGCCAGCCCCGCTGTCCCTCTCCCGTGGGGAGGGTGGCACTGCTCCTGTGGGGACACAGAGGGCTCCCAAGCCACCCAGCTCCATGAGCCCTGTCCTCGGAGCATTCCCTGGGCAGGGATCTCTCCACCCCGATGTCCTGCTCTCCCCGTCCCCTCCCCGCCTCCCTGGCAGCCCCTGGGGTGGGGCCAGCTGTGTCACCCTGACTCCTCTCTCTGTGTCTCCGTCCCCGCCGCCCGCCCTCGCCGGCCTGCCCACTCTTGCAGGATTTGGAGGTTAGAGATTGGTTTTTCCCTGGCTGTGGGCTCTCCCTGGCTGCTGCCTGGATGTTGCTCCCTCCCCCGATGTGTTGCCCTGCCCTGCCAGTCTCCTGGTGCCTCCTGCCTCTCCTTCCCAGCCGGGCTGGCACAAGGAGGGGGACGTTTCCGAGGGTTGGGACATCCCCATTGCCCTCCTGGTTTCACTGGGGATGAGGATAGCTAAAAATCCTTATCCCAGAGGATTCTCCATGAGCTTCCTCTGCTTGAGGAGCTAATTGATTCTGGAATGATGTAATACTTAAGCAAACACCTGAAGAGGCTCACTTCTCTTCAGGGAGGAGGAAGAGGAGGAAGTTTTTGGGGAACCCTTGACCCTGGAGTGCCAGGCACTGAACCCAATCCCAAAAGCTGGAGTGTTGCCCCTGCCTGTTCCCTGCCTGTGCTGCATGTGGATGGCTCTGCCCTGGGAGGGCTTGCAGGGGTTTGATAACCTTTTTCCAGCTGAAATCAGGAGCTGGACTGTCCTGTGGGAGGGTGCTGCAGCATGCAGGGCTGTGCTTTGGGGCTGGTGCCTCTGCAGCGTGGGGTGGGTGCCATGACCCCGCTCCTCCCTCTCTCCCCACAGTTATCCCTGAAATGCCGAGCACCAGAGGTGTCCCAGTACATCTACCAAGCCTATGAGACCATCCTGAAGAACTGAGGTGCTGCTGCAGCCCTTCCTCCCCCTCCTCCACCTCCTCCTCCTCCTCCCCTCCCTGTCCCGCCCGAGGGAGCAGGGCTGGATCCGTGTGCATGTCACCCTCCCTCCTGCCCAGGACCCAGCCCCTGGGCTTCTCCCTGTCCCGGGGGAGCAGAGGGGGCAGGGGGCTGTCCCCAGGCCCTGCATCCCTGCAGCATCCCTGCAGTGTGTGAGTGCTGCCATTGCTCCTCACTGGTGCTGCCCCCTCCACATCCCAGTTTCACCCTCAGGCTCCCAAAAACCCCAGCTCCTGCTCCTGGCTCTCACGGGGTGCTGGCTGAGGGTGGGTTCAGCATTCCAAACCCTGGGAATAGCTGCTGGAGGGCCCAGAGTGCTGTGGCATTAGGTGGCTCTGGCTGCAGATCCCCCTGGAGCCCTGGGATTTGGGGCTGGAGCAGGTGGGAAGCAGCTTTGGCTCTCCCTGATTCTGTGCCCTGGTTCAGCAGAACCTCACCTGTGGGTGAGCCCTTCCCAGAGGATCTCCTCTCCATGGGAGCCCTTCCCAAAGCTCCTAGAAGGGCCTGAGGATCCCACATTTGAGGTTGTATTTAAGGTGCAGGTTACAAAGGGCTTTTCCAGCCCCTGCCACGGGAGGGCTCTGAGTCCCCCCTCCCCCTGCCCTGCCCCACAGCTCCCTCTGCTCCCCCTGGCTCCCCTGGGGCTCCCACTGCTCCCTTCCCCCCCAAATCAAGCCATGGGTCCCCACACCTCGAAGCAGGAAATCTCTAATATATGAAAGATAAATATATTGTAATGTTCACTGGTTTGAAGGGAATGTTGAACAAAGGTGACACCGGCCCTTGGGGACACTGCTGGGCTGGCCATGGCCTGGTGACCCCGAGGGAAGCAGGACCCTGGGAGCTTCCTGCCAGCACTGCAGGGCCAGATAAGCCCTCGTTGGGCCAGTGGCCTCTGGCACAGCAAAGCCTGACACAGCAACTGGGCAGGGCTGGGACCAGGGACATGGGGCCAGTCACCCCTTGGGGACAGGATGGGCCTGGAGAGCTCGTGGCTCTGCTCCCGGAGCCTCTCAGGGATCCACCAAGGCCAAGGTGGCCCTGCACCTTCCATGGTATCCAGTCTGGGTGCCCTGAGCCCCTCCTGGGGTTGGGGACAAGCGTGGGGTCCCCAGGAGCTGCTGCTGGTCCGTGTGGGTGAGTCCTGCTCTGGGACACCCCACGGGCCACCAGCACCACTCTGGGGCTGGACTCCAGCCCCACGGCCAGGGCACGTGTCCAGGGACCACAGTGGGCACTCTGCTTTGGAACCCCCAAAGTCACAGCAGGGTGGTCACCACCAGCAGCTCTGGACCCTCCTGGTGACCCACAGCCTGCTGTGTCCCCCTGGGCCAGCAGCCCTGAGTGCAGCTCCCTGCCATGGGGCACTTGGGGCTCCAGGGACACCTCTGGAGGGGTCCCAGTGGCTGTAAGGGGCTACAGGACATTGGGACTCAGCCCCAGCCCAGCTCTTCACTGCTCCCACCCCTGCTGGGCCCCCCCGAGCCTCCCTCCCTCGGGCCTGGGGGTCTGAGTCCCCCTGCACAGATGACCAGACATGGTGGGCTCAGCTCGTTGGTCTTTACTGGCTGGAGAGGACATGCAGGGGTGGGGGCCTCGGTGGCCTGGGCTGGGGGCACAGCCCTGCCCCACCCTGGGGACATCAACACGAGCTGTGGGCAGTGCTGTGGGCAGCTGGGGGCTGCAGAGGGAAGAGTGACCCCTCCTGCCCTGAGACAGGGCTGGTGGTGACAAACTGCATGTCCCCAAGCCAGCTCAGGGCTGGAGAGGAGAAAGTGGCCAAGGAGGTGATGATGAGGCCAAGAAGAAAAGAGGGGATCGTCAAGAAGAGAAGATGATGAAGGAAAATGATGTGAGGGCCAAATCAAGAAGATGATGAAGGAAAATGATGTGAGGGCCAAGAGGAGGAGAAGAGAAGGAGGAGGCAGTGCAAAAGAAGAGAAGATGTGAGGAGGAGGAGGATGACAAGAATAGCAAGACGAGGAGGAGAAGACAAGAAGAGATGGTCAAGATAAGGAAAACAAGTGAGGAGATGAAGAGACCAAGAGAAGTGGGTGCTCTCCAGCCCCGTTCCCAGCTCTGCTCTGGCCACCACTGCCCTGACCACACGGCTGCCCCCTCTGCGGAGCTGCTCCCCGTGGCATGGGGACACCCCTGGCACCCTCTGGGGCCGGGGGCTCCTGGCCGGGCCCACCCCAGTGCCGACAGTCACCAAGTGAAGAGGTCCTGGCCACCTCTGTGGCCCTCGCCTGGCCGGGTGCCACCTCTGCCCTCCCAGCAGCTCGGGGATGTCCCCAGGGGCTGCCAGGAGCTGCCACGGCCATGGACCCCTCAGGGCCACGCTCTGTCCTCCAGCCCCTCGCGCTCCCGCGGGGCCCAGGCGGGCTCCAGGAGGGACGAGGGGATGCTCTGCAGAGCCCCCCAGGCCCTGGGGCCGCCGTTCGGGGCCCGCTGGGCGCCTGCCCCGTAGCCCCGGGGCGTGGGGATGCGGGAGGGCGCCCTGTGGGGCTGCGTGTCCAGCCGGGGCTTGGCCCAGGGCCGCGGCGGGGCCGCGGGCACCCCCGGCCCGGGGCTCTCCTCCGTCTCCATCAGCTCGTCCTCGCCGGCGGCCCAGTCGGTGTCGGAGCCGGGGTTGCCCGGCGTCTCCCGGTTGTCCCAGGAGGCCGGGAAGCAGCAGCTCTCGTCGGAGGAGCTGGAGAAGGTGGAGCGGCGCCGGGCATCTGCCAGGGTGGGGTTGGACGGCAGCGGGGGGCACCCGCCGTTGTTGTTCCCGTTGTTGTTCCCGTTGTTGTTCCCGTCGCTGCTCCCGCCCCGCCGCCCGTCCTCGGCGGGCAGCCCCTGCTTGGCGAACACGTTCAGGGAGGAGGACGAGGATGAGGAGGAGCAGTACGCCGAGTCGGCGGCGGCGGGGGGCGCGGGCGGGGGGATCTCCGCGTCCCCCAGCTGCTCCAGCAGCCGCGTGTTGGCCAGGAATTCCTCCTCCAGCCGCTGGAACAGCCGCTGCTCCTGCCCGGGCTCCAGCCAGCGCGGGGCCCGCAGCCTCCGCGCCAGCTCCTCGGGGTCCCCGGGGCCGGGCCGGGGGTCGCGCCGCCCGCCGGGGGAGGCGGCCGAGGAGTCGCTGTCACCCGAGCAGCGCCGGGAGCGAGCCGGGGCGCGCGGCCTGCGGGCGGCAGCGGGGATGAGAAACCCGGTGTGTCCCCCCGGGCACCCCCCGATTGCACAGCTGCCATGAACCCCCCCACTGATACCCCCCCGCACCCCTCCTCCTGGAACCCCCCCAGTGATACCCCCCCAGTGATACCTTGCACCCCTCCCCACCGAACCCTGCCCATCCTCCCCCATGGCACCCCACACTCCTTCCACTGCACCCCATTTCCCTCCCCTCTGCACCCATTCTTTCTTTACCCCCATTCCTCCTCACTGCACCCCCATTGCATCGCACATTCCCCCCCCCTTAAACCCCATTTCCATCCTCACTGAACCACAGATTTCCTCTATTAAACCCCATTTCCCTTCCCCTTGCTGCCCCATTAACCCCCATTCCCCCCCTTCACTGCCCATTCCTCCCCACTGCACCCCTAGAACCCCATTTCCCTCCCCACTGTCCCCCATATTCCCCCTCCACTAAACCCCCATTGAATCCTCACACTCCAGCCTCATTCTCCCCCTTCTCCCCCCTCAGCCCCACACACTGCACCCCATATTCCCCCCACTGCACATTAATCCCCCAATGCTTTCCCCATTTACCCCCTCCCACTGCCCCCATCCCACTGCCCATCCCCTCCCAGTGCCCCACTGTCTGTCCCCATGGCCCCCCATGACCCCCCATTGTCATCCTCCATTTCCCCTCCCCTGCCTTCCCTAACTGCACCCCAATCCCTCCATTCTTTCCTACTGCACCCCCATTTCACCCCAAATTCATCCCCCTGCCCCTCACTGCCCCCTCAGTACCGCTCACTGCCCCCCATTTTCCCCCATGATTTCCCCATTGCACCCCCCGAGCTCTGTTCCTGCACTTCCCCCCAGTGCACCCCCAATTCACCCTCTCGTACCTCCCACTGCCCCCAATGATTCCATTTTCTCCTCATCTCCCCCACCCAGTTACCCCAGTACCTCCCAGCGCCCCCCCAGTGTCCCCTCACTGCCCCCCACAATGTTTCCCCATTAACTCCCCCCATCCCCTCCGTGGGGCTGAGCCCTTGCCGTGGGTCTGGGGGCACTTTTGGGGTCCCCCCAGCCCGGGGGGGGCCGTACCTGTGGGTCCCTGCTCCCCTTGGCTCCGCGGGGCTCCGGGAGGGGCTGCCGGAGCAGGGGGCGGCCGCCCCTCGTGGGGGCAAACCCTCCTGCCTGGGGGGCTTCGGGGGGTCCCCCCGGGGCTGGGCTCGCTCTGCCGCGGCCGGGGGGGGCCCCGCGGGCCGGGGGCGCCGGGGGACGCTGGGGCTGGAGGCGCGGGACGAGCAGGCGCCGGGGGCTGCTTTTTGGGGGGACATGCCCGGCGTGCGGGGCTGCGGCAGGCGGTGGGCTGGAAGGGACGGGGGGGTCAGCGGGGACAGCTCAGCACCCCCTCCCCTCCCCGCATCCCGATTTTCCAGCCAGGCTATTCCCGGAGGTGGCGACAGCTCGGGAATTTGGGAAAATCCCCACTTTCGTCACTCCCCTTTTCCCCCTTACATCAGGATCAGTGCCCTGAGGAACCCAGCCCCAGGAAAGGGAACCCCAGAGAAACTCAGGGAGGATCAAGGAAGGGAATCCGTGGGGAACCAGGGAACAGAACCCCACAGAAAATCAGGGAATGGAACCCATGGAGAACCAGGGAAGGGAACCCATGGAAAATTGGGGACTGGAACACTACAGAGAGGCAGGGGATGGAGCCCCATGGGGAACCAGGGGATGGAACCCCACAGAACAGAGCCCTGTGGAGAACCAGGGAGTGGAGCCCCATGGACAACCAGGAACAGAGTCCCAAGGAGAGCCAGGGAATGGAACCCCACAGAGGATTAGGGAACAAAACCCCACAGAGAATGGAGCCCCAGGGAGAACCAGGGGATGGAATCTCACAGTAAATCAGGGAACAAAACCCCACAGAGAAACAGAGACAGAGCCTGGGGAGAATCTGGGAACAGAACCCACGGAGAATCAGGGAATGGAACCCCACAGAAAACCAGGGAACAAAACCCCATAAAGAACCAGGGAAAGGGGCCCCATGGAGAAGCAGAGAATGGAGCCCCGGGGAGGATCCAGGGATGGATCCCACGGAGAGCCAGGGAATGGAGCCCACGGCAAGCCAGGAGCGTGCCGGGGGGGCACGGGCGGCGGGTGGCACTCACAGAGGGCAGCGCAGCGACACGGGTCGTGCTTGTCCAGGTAATGTTCCAGTGTGTCCCAGCCGCCGCCCACGCGCACCATGACGTGGCTCCGCAGCACCTGCGGGCAGCGCTGTCACCCCAACGGGTCCCAAAGGCCACCAGAGCCACCCCAGGACCCGGCGGGGACAGGAGAGCCAGCGCTGGACCCCATCCAGCTTGTCTGGGAAGGAGGGGGTGGAGGGGCCCGGTGCAATGGGGGGACAATGGGGCGAGGGGGGACAATGGGGTGAGGGGACAATGGGGCGAGGGGGTGGCTCTTACTCGGACGAAGATGAGCGTGTTGGAGTCGCCCACTTTGTACTTCCCCTCCGAGACCTTGACCATGGGGAACTGCGAGGGGCAGGAGCAGCAGCCCAGGATCTCCCGCACCTGCCGGCACACAGGGCAGCCGTCAGCGGGGCATGCACGCCCTGCTGTAGGGTCGGCGGGGTCCAGAACCCCCCTACAGGGCCGGTGGGGCACAGACCCCCGATACAGAGCTGCTGAGGCACACACCCCCTTAATGGGGCAAGCAGGGCATAGACCCCCCACTATAGGGCTGGTGGGCATAGAAACCCCTCTATAGGGTCGATGTGGCACAGACCCCCTGTTATAGGATCAGTAGGTACAGACCCCCCTCTATAGGGTCGATGGAGCACAGACCCCCAAGTTATAGGATCAGTAGGTACAGACCCCCCCTATATAGGGTCGATGTGGCACAGACCCCAAGTTATAGGGCTGGTGGGTCATGGACCCTCCATTATAGGACCGATGGGGCACAAACCCCCTGTAGGGTCAGTGTGGATCCCCATTATAGGGGCAGCCCCTCAGATGGGCACACACGGAGGGGCTCTGTGTGCCCCCCAAGCTGGCAGCTCCCCTCCTCCCTGGGGAGCAGCTGGGGGGGCCGGGGTCTCCCCCCATGGCCGGGCACCCCCGGCAGGCTGAGAGCGGCCACAGCTCCCTTCATTTGGGGTCCACCCGCTCCGGGACCCCCGGCTGTGGGCACAAACCATCCCCCCACCCCACTAATGCTGGACACGGGGGATTCGCCCCCAGATGCCCACCATGGGGCAGGACCTACATCCACCACAGAAATGGGGTAAATCCCGGGGGGTTTGCCTCCCTCTGCACTGGAAGGTCGGGCACAGGGCAAAGCGGAGCGGGCGGATTTGGGGGCCCGGGCAGGGCGGATCTGGGGCCCGGGCAGGGCGGATTTGGGGGCCGGGCAGGGCACCCCCAGGGCTGTGCCCGGGCAGGGCCGCGCTCCCGCTGGCCGCCAGCTGCGGCCCCAGCTCCCGGGCTGACGTCAGGGATTAAACCGGGAGCCTCGGGGGACGCGGGGACGCGGCCGCGTCCTGCCCGCCCCGGGGCTCCGGGGGAACGCCTCGCCCCGAAATTTGGGGTTTCTTTAACAATTCCGTGATTTCGGGGGGGGTCTGCCTGCAGCTGTGCCCATCACAGCGCTGAGAGGAAGGAAGGATGTGGCCGCTCCGGTTCTCATCCGGGTGACACGGAGAGCCCCAGCCGGGGAAACTGAGTCAAGGACTGGGGGGGTTTGCAGTGAGGGGGGGTCGTGACCCTGCTGCCACCCGGGGGGCACCTGGGGACGGGGTGGGCCGGACCCCGCTCCGCCAGGCTCCTCCCCGGCGCTGGCGCTGCCCATAAAAGCCGATGGCGAGGAATTACGCAGCCCGGAAAAATGCAGCCAGGGCTGGCAGCGCCCGGCCAGGGGGGCTTGGGGGGGCAACAGCCGGGGGGGCCCCCCCGAAGCGGCCCTGGGCGGAGGGGGGGGTCAGGATGCTCTTTAATGAGGGACTTAATGAGGAATTGGGGTTTCAATTAAAAAAAGGCTTAGGGAGTCAGGGGAGGGCAGAGCCCCCCGGTCCCCCGTGTCCCCCCCGGCCCGGATTAATCCGCCGCCTCGCCCGCGGGACGGCTCCCGTACCCGGCTGTAATCCCTCTGAGCTCCCGGCCCGGGGGGGCCCGCACCCCTCTCCTGACACCCCAAACTGCGGCTGGGAGCAGTGGGATGTGCCCATGTCCGTGCCCCGGGACAGCAGCCCCGGGGAGGGAAGAGCAGTCCTGGGGTGGGGACCTCTGTGGGTCACCCCCTCACGGGGGGCAGGTGGCAGGGCACAGGTGACACCAGTGTCCCTGTTGTGATTCTGGTCACAGCCAGGGAAACAACCCCGCTGGAGTCAGGAGGCTCCACGAGAGCCTGGGTGGGTGGGGAGGAGCTCCCGTAGCCATGGAGAGCCGGGATGGGTGGGTGGAGCACATCCTATGGAGCACAGGGGTGGGCAGAGGGACCTGCCAGGGGTCACGGTGACACCAGACCTCCCCTGGGCCACCGAGTGCCCTGCTGGATGGGCAGGGAGGACTTCCCGGGGTCACAGGGACAGGTGGGACCTGCCAGGGACCACAGCATGCCCCACTGGGTGGGCAGGTGGGAGCTCCCATGGATCATGGACAGGGGACACAGACAGGACCTCCCAGGGGCCACAGAGAGGGCTCCTGGGGACCACAGCGATGGGTGGGACCCCCCACGGGTGGACAGAGACAGGTGGGACCTCCAGTGACCACAGAGTGACCGTGGGGTGGACAGACAGGACCTCCCAGGTCCAGAGGGCACGCAGTTGGGTGGGCAGAGAGGATCTCCCATGGACACAGAGCTCCCCGCTGGGCAGGGGCTGCCGCAGCCCCGCCGGGGGCCAGCGAGGCCCCGGCGCTGTCCCCGCGCTGGGTGGCCGGCGAGGCCCTCACCCAGGCACAGGGCTCCCAGGGGAGCGCGTGTCTCACCAGCTCGTCCAGGTTCTTGAGGTCGCACAGGGTGATGGGCCGGGCCCGGCCGGGGAAGGCGCCCGCCTGGGGGTCCCGGCTCTCCCGGCGCGGGCCCAGCGCGCCGTCGGCCATTTGGTCCCTCATCTCCTCCTCGATCTCCTCCTCCATTTGGATCAGCATGGGGGCCAGCATGCCGAACTTGGAGCCCCTCCTGGCCACCTCCAGCAGGCAGAGGACAAAGTTCTTCTCGTTCTTCTTCAGCACCAAGTCGTTGGTCTCGAACATGAGCACGTCCTGGATGCCCAGGTCCTGCCGGCACCACTGGATGAAGTTGGAGACGTTATCCCGGGCGATGAAGGAGCCGGGCACCACGTTCTTGGCCTGGAAGACCACCTCGTTCTGGGGCACCCGCATGCGCGCGGCCGCCTCGGGGTGCCGCTCCTGGAAGTCCAGGGCGATGCGGTTGACGTTGTTGGCGTGGCGGCAGAGGTGACACCCCGTCTCCAGGCTCTCCAGGAAGGTGTCCACCTGGATGTCCAGGTCGTAGAGGGTGTTGAACCACTCGGCCAGGTCCTCCTTCATGGCCTCCAGGTACTCCTCGCTGGAGCGGAAGGGGCGGATGCTCTTGGAGGCAGCCGACTGGATGTGGCTGGGGTCGGCCATGGCAAGCTGCCTGCGGGGGGACGGGGGGGCTGTCACGGGCAGAAAATCCCCCAAAGCCCCCCTAAAGCACCCACCAACCTCGGTGAGCCCTCCGTGCCTCAGTTTCCCCCACACGTTACCCATGGGCAGGAGCATCACCACTGCCACCACCACCCTTCCAGGACCCGCCTGATCCCTGCCAGGACCTGCAGCACCCCCACTCCCCACCCTGCGTGTCCTCCCCACAGCCCATGTCCCCTCCCCTCATGTCCCTCCCCCACGTGTGTCCCCATCCTGCACGTCCCCCACTCCGTGTCCCCTCATCCTGTGACCCCCCCCAGGTTAACGAGTCCCTTGTCACCCATGCCCACCCCTCGGTGGGGCTGTGACACAGAGGGGATGTCCCTCCCCAGCCCCACCCTAAAAGCTGCCCAGTCATGGTGGGTGTCCTCACCCCGCTGTCCCCACCCTGGGAGCAGGTGACACCCCGAGGGATGGCAGTGCCAGGGGCAGGGAGCCCCCCCTTACCCTGGTGGGGTTCAGCCCTGAGGGGCTGCAGGGGGCGGGGGGATATGGGGTGGGGGCTGCACCTGGGGGGGGCCCCCCAGTTGTCCCTGACCTGGGGTGGGGGTGCAAGAGCCAGTGATGGCCCGGCAGAGGGGTCACCCCCTCCCGGGACCCCCGGGACCTCCAGTGCCACCCCCAGCCCAGCCCCACACCCTGCGAGAGGGGTCCTGCTCCGGGGGTGTCCCTGCTGCTGAGGGGGTGTCCCCTGCCCTCGGAGGGGTGCCCCTGTTGGGGAGGGTCCCCTCACCTGGGGGGGGGGGCACTGCTACCCTGGGGGATGGGGGGACTCTGCCGGGGGGTGTCCCCATCCCCCGAGAGTGGGGGATCCTGTCGGGGGGTGTCCCTTTCCCTCGGTGGGGGGGTGTCCCTGTCGCGGGGTGTCCATTCCTCAGGGATGGAGGGTCCCTTTCCCTCGGGGGGGCTGTCCCTGCCGGGGGGGTCCCTGCCCTCGGGGGGGGTGTCCGTGCTCGGGGGTGTCCGCATCGGGGGTCCCCCTGTCCCCGGGGGGCGGCCGTGCATCCCTGGGGGTGTCTCTGTCTGGGGCGGGGGGGTCCCCAAGCCGGGGCGATCCGCCGGGGCCGGCGGGAGGGGATCCGCACCTGCGGGGACACGGGGGGGACACAGGGCCCGGGGCCAGCCGCCCACCCCCCCGGCCGCACTCACCGCCGCCGCTCCGCGCTCCGCTACGGCCGGGCCGGGCCCGCTCCGCGAGAAAGGGCCGGGACGGGGGCGGCGGCGGCGGGCGGGGACGGGCGGGGGGGGACACGGACACGGCGGGGGACAGGGGCATGGCCCGCAGCGGGGACACGGCACGGCCGGGGGAGCGGCACGGACAGACGCGGGGCGGGGCGCGGACAGGGGGCACGGGAGGGGCACGGGGTGACACAGGTGACACATAGCGACAGTCGGTGACATTCCCCCACCCCCGCCCGGGTGTGGCTCCCCGCTCCCATTGATCTGCTCCTCCTCCCCCCAGCCTCCCTAGCCCGGAACTCACACCCGGAGGGGAAACTGAGGCACGGCGGGATGCACCGGGCGGCTCCGTCCCTCCCCTCCATCCCTCCTACCCCGGCCGGGCCGGGGGCCGCGCCCCCCCGGCTCCCAGGGGCGCTCTCAAGAAAGGCCAGCAATGGTGCGGTTACAAACAGCGGGAATTTTATTTAAAAAAACAACCGTCACAACCGTTCACAGCGTTACAGGCGAGGAGGGGCGGGGGCGCGTTAAACAACCGGTTTTATTTTGGGGGAGGGGGGGAAGAAAGAATTCATCACGCTACCGTTGAACTTGGTTTTAATGTTTCTCCACAAACGGTGAAAAATACTAAAGTACAGACAAGGAGGACTCATAATGTTGTGGCCAACATTATAAATATGGAATTATAAATTTAAAACATTTTTTTTTTCTGGTTTAAAAAATAAATCTGGTAGTAAATGCGGCTCTGAGGGGGCGGCGTTAGTAGGGCCGGTCTCGGCGATCCTGGCGGTGTTCGCCCCTGTGGGGCGGGATAGGGGTCAGTCGTGGGGTCCAGGAGCCCTCCCCAGGTCGGGGAGGACAGTGTCTCTCCCTCCCCAGTGTCCCCTCCCCTCACTCCCTGCCCCTCCATCCATACTTGTCCATCTTTCCCGGCCCTCCGCGCCGTCCTCTGCCTCCTCCTCCCATCTGCTCCATGAGGGGTCCGGGGGGTCCCCCGGGGCCGCCTCCTCCTCCTCCTCTCCGGCCGCCTCCGCCGTAGCCGCCTCGGTCCATGCCCCGGCCACCTCGGAATCCGCCTCGGTCTCCGCCGCGGCCGCCCCGGAACATCCCTCCGGGCCCGCCTCGCTCCATGAGGCCCCCGCCGCGCCCGCCCCGCATCCCCCCGGGGCCGCCCCGGCCGCGGTCACCGCCTGCGGGAGGAGGAGAGAGCCGGGAGTGAGCCCAAGGGAGCACATCCCGCTCCCGCGCTCCCCACCACACCGGCACAGCACGCCCAGCTCCGGCAGGAGCAGCAGGAGAAGGGCTGGGAGCCCCGAGGGGATTCGGGGTTCATTAAGGCCCTGGGGAGTCGGGGTGCTGCTGACAGCGCCCCAAATCCAGGAGGCACAGGAGCAATCCCAGTGTCCATGTCATGGCTCACGGAGGGATGAAGGCCTGGCAGCTCCCGGAGCTGGCCCAGCCATTCCCCAAGGAGCCCGAGGCCGGGCCTGGGGTGTCCTGCTGAGAAGCGGGGCTGTGAACCCCCCAAACGTACCTGGAGGAGGGAAGGGGGGCGGGAGGAACCCCTCCGGTTTGGGCGCCTTGCACTGGTTGCACTCTGTTCTCCAGGCAAAGTTCTGGTTTCCGCAGCCCCTGGGGACAAATTCCAGTTAGCCCAGAGTGGGACAGCATTCCAGCTGGGGTGACATTGGGAAGCACGAGCAGGAGAGCACGTGGAGAGGGACACAAGGGCAGGACGTGGGGCATGGCTCCCGCAGCGGGTCTGGCTGCCCACAGGAGCTGTGCTTCACCCCCAGCCCCCAGGAGTGACCCCGTCCCTCCCTCTGTGCCAGCTGGAAGCTGCTTCCTGGGAAGGCCCAGCAGGAGATTTTGGGAAAGGCCCCGCAGCCCTGGCCAGCTGCTGGGATGCCCCGTGGCACAGGCGTGGGGTACTCACGGGTTGGGGCACTGCCAGTCCCCGGCGCGGTGCTGGACGCTCCCTCCGGACGGGTTTCCCCGCGAGCCCCGCGGTCCTCTCGAGGAGAAGCCACCCCTGTCTCCACCTCTGCCCCCCATCCTGCCCATGGGGCCGCTGGGCCCGCTGGGGCCCCCTGGGCCACCGGGACCCCCTGGACCTGCGGGAAGGAGCCCTGTTAGTGCTGGGGGCCTCGGGAAGGACGGGCAGCAGCGCGGGGGGGCTGCAGGTACCTCCACGGAGGGGTGGGGGCATTCCCCGCTGCTCCCGGGGGGGCATCCCGCCCCTCAGGCTGTTCATCGGGCCCTTCTTCCGTGCCAGGGTCACCTTCAGCTTGCTCCCCTGGAAATCCTTCCCTGGGAGGGACACAACGGCAGGAGCATCGGTGAATCCTCATTCACACAGCGGCACCCGGGTGCTTCCCACACTTGGGAGCTTTTGGAATTCCACCCCAAAACGCCCCCCAGCACTCACCATCGAACCATTCCACGGCTGTTTTGGCAGTGGACGGGTCATCGTAGGACACGGTGGCATCGCCCTTGGGCTTGCCCGTTTCCTTGTCGATGTAGAGGTTTATCATGGGCTGCCCCGTCCTCTTGTTCATCTAAGGGACAGTGGAGTGTCACCCCAGCCCTGTCCCCCCACAGCCCAGCGGGGATTTACTCTGTTCTGCCTTCCAGCAGCTCACTCCAGGGACTCCAGGACAGAAGAAAGGGACCCTAGGCCCACCATGGATGGCAGCAACTGCCCAGACACCCCGAAAATGAAGGGACAGGCCCTAAACAGCACTGCCAGGCCTCTCCCAGAGCCTGGACATGAGGGGCCAGAAGGATGTGAGCAATGGGCAGGGAGCAGGAGGAGGAAGAGGAGGAGGTGGGTGACCCTTTTCCCCCTGCCAGTGGGGGGTCACTGGTGTCCCCTCACCTTGACAACACCGCACTGTTTGAAGAAATCTGCCAGATCCTCCAGGGTCACATTGTCATTGAGTCCCTGCACATAGACTGCAGTGCTGTCCGAGTCCTCCTCCGGGTCCATAGGGGGGCCTAGGAGACAATTCCCGGGGTCAGAGGAAGGGCAGGGATACCCCAGGGCCGAGTTCTTTCCATCCCCTCATCCCCTCCAGGGCTGCAGCTTTGCCCTCTGGGAGTACCAGGAAAGCCAGGCCCAAGGGAGGGGACTGTCCCCTCCCTCACCTCCTGAGTGCCACGGCCACACAGAGCCCACACCCACCCACGTGGGAAGAACCCCCAGGTTATTTCAGGACACATCCCAGAGGAAAGATGAGGAAGACCTTGGTGGCCCCTGGGCTCCCACACAAGGACATCCACCCCCCTTTTCCGATGCTGGAAGGCTGACGCAGAACTTCCAGACACGCCTGTGTGACAGGAAGGGACAAGCCACGGACGAGGCTCTGGGGGGGCTGCAGGCTCCCTGGAAGAGCTCCAGAGCAGCCCCCAACCCCCCGAATTCCTGCAGAGAAGGGGGAGCATCTCCCAACCACGTGTGCTGGTTTTCCAGCTGTTTGGGAAGGAAGCAATGATGGGAACAGCCAGAAAGGCTGGAAGTGGCGGTGGGTGACACCGCGGTGGCCGCAGCCCTCGGAGCGAGGACACAAACGTCTGTTTCACAGCCTCGGGACAGAGTTTGGTGGGAATTACCTAAATCCAGGTCGGGTCCTTCCTCCATGTGTCCTGCCAGGCGGGAGAGAAGCACAGGGAAGGGTGTTAGTGGGGGCCCTGCGGGCTGGAGAACCGACACACACAACACTAGCTACGACCTGCGCCGCACAAGAGCAGCACTGCACCTTACTGGGCCATCAGGTGGCTCTTTTAGCACTTCTTCCAACCAAAAACCACTATTACACTGGTTTTAAGCATTTTTTCCAACCAATAACCACTATTACACTGTTTTTTTAGCAGCTTTCAAACCGTTAACCACTATTACACTGATTTTTTTTAGCAGGTTTCAAACTGTTAACCACTATTAACGCTGATTTTTTAAAAGGTTTTACCAAGCCAATCAGTTTTTAAGTTCATTAATAAAAGTTACTTAATATATCTATATATATAAAAAAAAAAAGAAAAAAGATTTATTACATCCAAACCATTTCTTTTCCCCAAAATTACAGGAGTGGTTGCTCAACTCTTCCACTGTGTCCGCATACCCCTGGGCATCGCCGGCAGTACCCATTACAGTCTGGTTGCATATTGTCATTTTTAAACCACTTAAACGAATAAAAAATTACACTTCGTGCTAAAAAAAAAAACTGACTGCAATTTTTTTTTTTTTTTTTAACACTATCCATTGTAATGCTCAAAAACTTACCACCAGGCTTATTGAAGCCACCTCGCTCTCCAGCGCTGCTGGGGGGATAAACGAAGAAATGAAGGCCTTTCCCTTTACAAAGCCAGCACCGCTCTGAGCCTCTGCGGCTCACAGGGGAGAAGGGCACTGGCTAAACATCTCCAAACATCTCTCTGTCTCTCTCTCATCTCGGCACTAGGCCTTTCTTCAGGGCAGCTCGCTCAAATTTTCTTTACATATAAAGCAACCTTGGTGTGGTTTGAGGCACCGCTTTGCCGTCGGTGCCCTGGCGTTATTACTCGGGTATCATCAGTGCAATACTTGGCTGAGAAATTTGTTTGTAATCAAAGTGGTGGTTTTTGTTGGTGTTGTTGATGAAGAGCAATTTGGGGGTGTTTCAGTGGTCAACTCCCTCCCCTCGGTGTGTCCACCAAGGTGCACCCTCAGCCTGTGGCAGCGCGGGCCCGCGGGTCCCTGACATTTAACAGCGTAAAAGGAGACAAACCACACGCGAGACCTACAACACAGTTCAGCTGACATCGCCCCTAAAACCCTCAAAATAAAGCCATACATTCAGGTCACTACTGAATTTAACAACTCTCTGGAGGGAGAACTTACAGAGTACAGCGGGGGCTCCAAGGCCTGGGGTGCAGCTTTGTGGACACACTCACTTTTGGGCAGGTGCCAATGCAAACAGGGCCGCAGCTTTCACCAAAAGCTTTGGCTGCAGCACTCACAGCTAAAACTGCTTTGGAGCGT